CCCCCCCCAAAAACCCCCCCCCCCCCCCCCCCCCCTCCCGGGCGAGGAGAAGCCCCCCCACCGTCCACTAAGCCCTCCCATTGGCGAAATCCTGGGTACGCCACTGGTTTTGTCCATCTTTTTAGCTACTTTCCCCAATCTTGATACTACTTCACTTCCAATCGCAGTTCATCTCTCCCATCACCTCCACAAGCAGGTTTTACTGAGCTTTTTATTTTTCTTTTGACTGATTTCATGCTGCTATTCCAAGTTTTCTAGGACGGTTCTCTACTAAAAACGACACTTTGAATGGAGTAAGCTAGGTGTCGTCTCAATTTTTTTACATTTCGAGGCACTTAAGACAGACAGGTCTCAGTCTCAGTAGCATGCCCAGAAAATCCCAATGGGGGCAGGGGGTTGACATAAGAAAAAATTGGTAACCCACCCTGCATGTAAGGCCAAATTATAAATTTTTGAAAATCGAATCTGTAAAATGGATCCCAAGGAGGGGAGGGGTTATGACCCACAACCCCCCTTGGGCACACCACTCCGTAGTGTAACCATACATCTCCCGGACATGTCCTCTTTCTCTGATTTATAATGCCCGTCCAGAAGGAAGGTTACCACAGCTCCGGGTTTTCAAGTGCATGTCCTGCATTTTCGACTTCAAATTTCCGTCCGAGCTGGAAGCGGCTTTCTGGCTGTCCGAAATATGGTAACCATCTAAATAAATCCAAGTGTTATGCATATGCTATCAAAGAAAAAGGTCGCGACCAGGTCGAAACTGTCGCGCTCTCATCAGCAGACCCTTTCACAGGGAAATCAGCCCGACCCGCTCCGGGGTAAACACTCCGATGCCTAAGTCGGAAGTTGAAAAGGAATTAGCCAACCTGTCCCCAATAGGAGCTCACTCCACACCATATGAAGTTATATTACCCTTTTTCACTGAGGTCAAACGTATGATCTTTTTTTTCCCTTCCTGTTTCCATCTTATTGCCCCCAAAATAAACAACCGTGCCAGAGGACCCATTAGGATTGCCTTTACGAGATTGAAGACCGGTTAAACGAAAGCGGCCACGCGCGGAGAGGAGTTGCGTCATCGATGCAAGAAAAATCGATAGCAGTAGCCGCCAGTCGAAGTTGTTTATTGCCAATTAATTAGATAATTAGTTCATTTTAATTTTCACGCAAGTCATAATATATTCACAGCACGATATGCATTGCACCATGTGCTTTACGGGAGGTAATATGTTGACTAAAACGCCATTTCTAATCTGCTAATTAACAGATCCTTGAAACACCCGTCTATAGGATAGGCGCAAAAATATCCTGCGTTCTTGTACCAGTAGAGAGGAGAGAAAACCAAGTGTTGATAAGAGCAAGGACGAGCGCGAGCATTCCCCCTTCCCCGAGCATTCCCCGCGCGCGAGATTTTTTTTCGTAGGTAGGTTTCCGCACCCTACCGCGCTTCCCTGATTGGCAAATAGCCCGGCAGGCAGGGAACCAATCATCTCACTTTCTCCTGCACTCGCGTTTGCGAGTGCGAGGTGGGTGATGTGGGTGAACCTTGAACCGATCAGTCCTCGTGGAGAAAGCATGAATGGAGCACAACCCTCCTCTTTCTTCTCGCTGTCACGTGTCGGATCAGTGTTCCGCCGAACTCCTGCATTCGTGCTCAAGCGTGAACATCGCGATTGGTTTCTCATCGTGCATATGCGAATTAAAACCGGTGTGTTAAAACCTGTTTTCTCAGTCGAGAAGTTTGCCGGTTAAAGGTGTGGACCCAAGGACGAGCGTTTCGTCGATTTAATAGGCCTACTCTCCTGAAGATACACGTTTTTTGGTGGGAGCTCGTCGATCCAGCTCCATTACTCACTACTCCAGTATATCTGCTCCATTACTCACTGCTAAGAGTGAGCGCCCGTTTCATGTTGACAATAGGACATACCGAATCTTGTAGTATTGGGGGGATTTGAAAATCGACCCCTCTGAATCGAAATTCGGCATGGCGGCATATTCTGGGAATCTCACGAGCTTTCCCCTTGCGCTTTGATGTATAATATCACACCAGGAAAACCAGATTTATTTTTAAAACTTATTTTATACTTGAAGGTTTGAGGCTCGGAAAAGTGTGCTAGCGTATCTAACCAGCAAACTTGGGCATTGGGGCGACTTCAAGAGAGCAAGACTCTCTCTCTGGGTTGTCAAGGTTCTGTACTTGGAATGCACTTGTCCAGTTGGATAGAAGCATACATTTGCATGCTTTCATCCAACTGTGATGGATTTCACTGGGAATGCGAACCCACATCCTGGAGGTCATCGTTCCTTTGGAAGCTAGATCTTTTCCAATAGGACAGAAATAAAAGGAAGACCAAAGCCTGCATCTGCCCTGCAGGACCGTCAAATGAGAAATTACTTATTTTCTCTTAGGATGTGAAATGTGGCGATAACTTGGTGCATTTCGATAAAATTTTATGATTTCGCAGCGTTTGGTGAAAACGCTGAGGGAGAAATTGGAGTTACATTCATCGAGTCTGATGGTGAAATCATTTTTATGGAGATAAGAATTTGGTTATGTAAATGAACTGAGCGACCAAATGACACATTCTGGTGGAGAATCGCCAGAATGACGTTCTTCGTGACAGGGTTGGTGTTATTTGGTGAATAAAATAAAATAAATTAAATTAAATACTGTTCCAAAACTGGGGACCACAGGCGACTTAAAGCGTGCATACCCTGTTATATGTGATATAACTGTAGTATAGAAAACAAAGGATATCCCTCTTGTTTGAAGATTTGAACTTTCACTACATTCACTTGGAACCAAACTTCTTCCAATTTATTGAACGATCTGTACTTGCATGATTCAGCTGATTCCGTATCTAGTAGTTCCGTAGTTGGCCCCATATCTACAGGATATGGGGCCGTTCACAAATTACGTAACGCAAAGGGGGGAGGGGGGATCAGACAAAGTGTTACGATTTTTTACAGGGGGATTTTTTGCACGAATGTGACGTAACAGGTTTTTTTTTATAAAAATAAAATAAATTATCGGCTGGAATTTCTTATTAGAAGAGTAATTGTTTAGTATAAAAAAAAATCACTCACATGAGACAGAGCCAACCCTACTACTCACCACATTTACTGGAGCGGGCATTGGAAGCGTGGGAACGTCTGTTGACTTCCCTTTTTCCTGTTGCAAAACTGGCAAAGTCGCAGTTTCATGCCTGGACCTGCCCAGACAGGCCAAACGGGCAGTTACCCTTTGGATGTTGTCCTCGTTCGTTTCTCTCTAGGCATCGCAATTTTTATTTTCATCATTCTACCCTACATTTCCCCTCTCCTTTTACTCTTTTTTTTTTAAGTCTCAAATGGGTGATCACCATTAATCAAAATGAACAAAGACAATGAAAAATTATTTCCTTGGAGAAGGAACCAAATGAAAGTAAACACTTTTCCTTTCGTTTTTTAAAACATTTTAATCATCTCTCAAGGTGTGTAATCCAGAGTGTTTGTTATGAGTGTTTAATGAGCGAGTTTCTTTTTAAATCCATTTTACTTGGTTATTTATATTCTAAAAAATTTTTGGAGGGGGGGGATCATATTTTGTCACGTAATTTTTTTGGGGGTTCGAAGCTTTTGTTACGGAGTGTTACAGGGGGGAAGGGGGGTAAAAAAAATCACGTTATGTAATTTGTGAACGGCCCCAAAGGTGATAGGGCTAACATGCAGACACCGTTAACATTAAAACTTGCTGAACAAGTATCTAAATTTTACACTGACATTAATAATACTGCGTTGCAAGAATTCATTTATTACCCATACAGCACAGGTATATCCTAAAGATATCCCAGAGATATCCCCTTGGGACAAGTGCGATGTCCCAGAGACAAGGAGTAGGGACATCTTAGGGATATCAAAATGTCTGGGCCCAATGACATCCCAAGGATGTCCCTTTCTTGAAGAAATAGCACATCCCAGAGATGTCCCAGGGATATCCCCTTGGGGCAAGTGAGAAGTCTCAGGTAGTACTTGTAGGAGCCTTCCTATTCCTTCCTACCCATATGGACTCATTTCCTATCGCACAGGAGAACCCTTTCCTTTCGTAGATGTCTCTATTTTATATAGGATAAAACCTAATCTAAAGTTCTTGGTCGATTGAAGAATAACGATTAAGGGGGAGGAAAATACCATTCCTAAAGGAAGCCCCATCATAGGAAACACATCTCCAAGGGACGAAATTTAGCACTTTTACACGAGGGGTCATGGATGATATGATGTAGTCTTAAGCCTTTCAAATTGTATGNAAAAAAAAAAAAAAAACAAGGAAAATACGAATAAAAAATTAAGTGAATATTAGACTGGTAATTGTCTTTGACTGTAATTGTCAAAGGAGAGAGGAGTAAGCAAGTGAGGGAGCTCAAACAGAAGAAATTCCTGCAAACTTGCAGTGTCCCAGTTAATCCTGAAGGACAAACAAGGTATAGGGATAGAAACGAGGTCGACCGATAGGCTCTGCTTAAAGGCACGATTAAGAGAGGCGTGATCACACAAATTTACCACTCAATTCACACAGGGAATCGAATGCGAATCTTTATGTAAAATTGGAGTGTTGATATTAGAGAATGCATGTTTAAAGTGGTGTCTGTCTTGTGGCTCTCGTTCAATAGAAGATTTTGTCATGCGGCTCATTAGGTCAGGAAGTTTGGTCACCCCTGTACAATGGCATGCAGGTTGTGAATCAAGGACAAGTTCAATACTCTTGAAGATCAGCCAAATTTTATTCTTTAATTTTTTTTTAGGAATTGTTCATCAAGATGAACAATTCCTGAAAAATTCAGCGGGGAAACAAGTGGAACTATGATAGTCTCAATAAAATGTGAACAATTGTGGTACAAACACACTTGAAGCTAATGGAGCTTTGGCACACCAAACATATGAAAGTAGAAAAAATACTGCTGAAAGAAATTATCAATTAAGAAAACCCAGTGTCTCTGGAGTCACCAGGCAAATTGGCCTTGATTAGCAAGAAAATTTCAAGCATCACTTTTATGGGCCAGCTCACTCATATCATTCATTATCGCTGTCTGTTGGAATGGGGCCGAGATTTTCCATGAGCCAAAAAACACTTTCCTATCAATAGAGGTTGGCAATGCTAGAGTTTACCCTAGGGAGGAGATGATAGGGTCCAAGGACGTTGGTTGGGATTTGGCCCTTAGATCCAACTAAGTGTGACACAAGTCCAAATATGCCATGCCAGCATTAGCAGAAGAAACAGACACACCCCTAGGATCAAAGGGTTGAGATAATGTCAATCAGCAGCAAACAAACTGTTGCAAAATGCCACAATATCACAAACTCATGGCAAAGTTGCATCAAAGTGCCAACACCAATAAGGCTGCTCAATGCCCTTTAATGACTTGGATATGTTCATTCTTTGTAAAAGGAGGAATGCTTGAGATTACTAAAACATCCTTTACTGGAGGAGGAATGTTTGAGATTACTAAATCAGGAATGATACCTCATTGAGAATCTTCTGTAGTTGATCTCATTGCTACTGATACCATCTGAGAAAAATTTTAATAAGGGCCTTTTGAAGAGCCTCTAACAAATTCAGCTAAATAAATTAACCCTCCCAGCACTGAGTGTTAAATACCATGCATACCTTGGGCATAAATATAAATGTACAACTGGGTAGGTTTGCACTTGCATTGAACTTTTTACTGTATCTCACACAATTCTCACTAAATGTTTTCCACTTCAGCAATAATTAATAAGGTAATTTGGGGGAATATGGCCCTAAAAAAGTGGAATCTGGTCTTAATGAGCCATCAAGATTGAGTTTGTCAGTATTTCAAATATATGGATTGATATCTCCTTTATTCAATCCCAACAAGGCACATGCAAAAAACTTTGTACCCTTTGGATCCTTTTCAAGTTGGTTCCAAGAGCTGCTATAAAAAGCAGGATTGCAATGCTTTAGGCTACAAGTAGCATTGCATGCAATTGGGAGACTGTACCTAGAGACTGTGGGTGGTAGGGAACTGATAACCCTGAGGTTCAAGTGAACATGCATTACGAGTGTGAAGTTAGAGGTCATACAGTGTGAGGGAAAATGCTGCATAGTTTTTGCATGTATAAATTAGTAATTAAAATCATAGGAATATATTTATATTTTTAATTAGAGATATATATCTGCATTAAAATTTTGTGCAAATAAAATTTCTGGAGTACACCCAGTGAATGCCCAGAAGGCATTGTATGAGAATATCTGCTGCATACTTCATGCAGATGTCCAGTGGATCTCTGTAAGTTTGCAGCACATATCCAGAGGATGTGTATAAGATGATCTCTTGCTGCCTGAGGTTTAACAAAAGGTATCTAACACTGCCAATAGGTCAATGTGGTGCTTCCATGAAATCAAGGATGTGTCCATATTACCCCCAATTGAGATGGCCACTTTCCCCATGTTAATTTTTGACAAAGAGAATGACAAAATTGATAAGAGCAAGTTGTGAAACGTGCCTGCAAACAGCAAGTGAAGGGTCAAGTGATTTCCACAAGCATTCTGGAGGGACCATAGCATAACTTTGAAGAAATATTTTCTGCTGCTATGCTGCTATCAGGAAATATATGCTTAGATTGCTCAAGCCTCATATTATTTTGAGGATCATAAGTTGAGCAATTGCATGCATAAGAATTTCATAACATTGATTTATCCCAAATTCTTGTGAGCAGTGGATGAAGGAGTAGGTCATAACTTTTTGGCTATTGTATATACTCTTTAACTATTTAAAAAATATGCACCAACTAATTATTGGGTCTGTTAGGGGATACATTGTGAAGGGCCATATTACCCTAAAGGTCATATTCCACCAAGTTCCCCTATTCTTTTTTTACCTACCCAGTTGGGTACATTTAAAAAAATTTTTTTTTGGTATGTAAAGCTTTGTTTCCTTGAAAAAGCAGAAATGGTTGTTTTGATGTTGCTCTTCAGAAAATACCTCCCAGAGGTATTCTACCATATTCCATTCTCTATCTACCATCAAAGAAATACAACAGATGTAACATGTAGTACTGAAACAGTACAAAAATCAGTCAATGGATGGCAAAGTAACGTCCCTACAGATAACTGCATAGAATGTACAGCATATGTTGATACACTATACCAGCAGCAAATGACAATCATATGGGGTGTGTGAAAGTGGTTTGAGGAGTTAACTTCACCAATGACAATCTAGGACTAGAAGTAATTCACAAAATTAACCACAGAATCAATGACCAGCACAAGAGGAATGCTCTGACTTGAAAAGCCCAATATCCTATACAGAGGAATATCTGGTCAGAAGTGTGAGGACTTAAGGTAGCAGACTTGCTTTTGACATATCACCATAAAAAGCTGAAAATATAACAATTATGGTTAATTAGCTTAATTTATTATCAATGTCCCAAACCTGTTGTCCCTGGCAACCAAGTTGGTTGCAATTTTCTCATTACAGCTTTTTTTTAGCTGACAGATGCTGCTCCAAACAGCATAACTTTTCATGTAATACACCTTTATCTTTCATTTTTGGCTGAGAGCTACCTTGAATGTACCTCCAAAGAATTATGGTAGCTTTTTTCATTTACCCAATCCTTTAGCACTTTTAGTACGCTTGAATTTGTAATTAGGTCACAAAAATAGCTAAAAATCACTTTCAAAAAATTAATTTTGAAAAAAATCACCCATATTTTGAAAAACTGTTTTCCTCAGGACGTTTGTAAGGATTTCAAATACAAAATTTGTCAATTCCATCAAATATATGTGAACCATATGTGAGAAATAGAAAAAAAGCTAATTTTTTTGTGCTCTGGTGGGCATATTGGATTCATTAGCATAAATTATGCAAATTATCTCAATAAACGCAATATTAGCCCAATCCTCTTTCACATAGTTTGTTTCTGGGAAGGAATAGAGATGGAAAAAGTTGCCTTAAAGTAGGTCTGCTACCTTAAGGTAAACCTAAGTTTTCTGCAGTTGTTCCAATGAGGCTGAAATTACCTAGGGAGTGAAATACAACAAAGACACCATTTCCATGAAGGTTGTAACATAGTAAACAGGAATATTGCAGTCTTATATCAATAACAGTGAGCAGTTCATTTTGTGTACACAAGGAAAAAAATTTTGTCTGCTTTTTCTCATGAGCATTCAACAAAATGCACATAAATGGGATAAAGGTCCAGCAAAGGAAGGTTATGTGACTGATCACACAAGTTTATCGTGAGCATGAATAGCAATTTAGGGACTTTATGGAGAATGAAAATAGGTGAGTTACTATAGGATATGGGGCACAAATTGACAACCATGAGAGCCCTGTTGAAGACATAAGAAGGTGGATGGAATGTTCCCAGATGTAAATATTGGTCTTCATTAGAGTGAAAGAAGTATGGTGTTGGGGCCGTTGGTTCACTCTGATGTGGGGGTTTGCAGTTCCTGTAGCTTGGAGATGAGACTGGAGTCTGTCTGTCTTTGTTTGTCTGTCTGGTCTGTGAGCTCCTTCTCTCTAAATCAGGGGGATAGAGTGAAAAAAAAAAGAAATTAAGTAATTTTCCAGACTCTTAATGACGTAAACTTGGGTACAGTATTTGACTGAGGTGCCTCAGGCAAATTTTTAAAGTACATAAAAACAAAGCAATGATATAAAATTCTGAAGTAGAACATGGCATATTGCCTGTGCCATTGCAAATTTTAAAAGGCATGCTAAAAAAAACCAATGTTAACTATTGCTTAACCCTAACAGAAAACTCTGCTAAAAATTCACTTGTGCTTCTATAGTGACTATGGTTGTATCAAGATGCTGATATCAAGAGGATCAGCCAGGATCAGTAGAAGCCAATCTAATCAGATTCTTCCTAGCTACAAATTGCACTTAATGCACAGCACATAAATTTTTGGAATGTCTCATGAAAAAATAACCACTTGTAACAGCAGTCAAATGACCTTGATTTGGAAGATGTGAATGTTTCACAGGTAACAGCTAGTACATAATACAGTATGTATTTTTTCTATTTCACAGATTATTTCAAGTATAAATCTATAAGACATTGCACTTTTTTCTACTTTTATTTCAATATCTTAATTTCATTTCTTCAGGAGGATCTCCTTATCTCAGCAAGCCAGTAGTCTGGCAGCCACCTAAACAGACTCCCCCTGTGGGCAGAACTGAGAGATTTGACACATGAAGAAATGCTGGCAATTTATGGGTGGAATGAGAAGTACATTTACCTTTGGATCTTCTTCATCTCTTCTACTAAAACACCTTCCAAATGCAATTGAAGTGCATCTGTGATTTGATCTGGTATTTTTATATAGTCCTCTGGAAAAAAGAAACAAAACAAGGATGTCATCCATTTCATGCAGTGAAGTCTGCAAAATGTGATCTTATCTGGGAAATGAATGAGAATAGCTGCTTTTAAAATGAAAATTTTTTAAATTTAAGTAACATTCAGAAGACTGACTGACAAGTAAAAACAGAAGCATTCAGGAATCCTAATTTACTTCAAATAATGATATTTTGAAGCTGAAGATTTTAAAGAAATAGTGCAATAGTTCAACATCAGAGAGAGTAAAAATGGCCAACAATGATCAAAAGCACTTTTTACTTTCTCCTCATTTTCCATATCCTTACTTTGTCCCCTCCTTAGTGTAATGTGCTTCTTCTGGACATTCCAGTCATTGACTCAGAATTACAGATGACTATTTCACAAGAGGATTCGAATTTAGAATCTCATTTTATTTTAGAAATGCTATTGTGGTCGTCACAGTGATAAAACCACCTTAATAGTAATCCCTGATGTATCAAAACACTGAGAGACTCCATAAGATATACTCCAACACTTGATAAACCTTTACTCAGGGTACTTCATTGACAACTTGGAAACAAAAACTTCAATCTGTGATTTAATTACTGGCAAGGATGTGTCACAGATGTATGAGGGTGAAGTCATAGGAAATGTTGTGACAAGTGACAATATGTCACTAATGTGCAAGTGTGATAGCTACATTAATAACTTCCATTGATTTGAGTTCAAGATAGCACAGAACAAAAAAGGAAATAATCAGGTTACATAAAAGTAGTCAATGCCAAACCACCTGCTTTACTGCTCTATGAAACAGTATGTTCTGTTCCTTCATTTTCCTTCTTCCCTTGACCTTTACATACTGAATCAGTTTAATGATTGTCTGATGTCAGATATAACTGACAAATTGCTGCTCAGAATGGTCAGCAACTCAATAGTAACCCTTTCACTGGCATGGGTGTCTCCTGATGCCCAGGTTTTTTCTGTCTTTCTTCTGGCACAGGCGTCCTTTGTGACTCTGTCCCATGAGTTTACTCTTTGAAGCTTCTGGCATCTGTGGAACAATTCTAGACAAAGTCTGGAATTGTCATCAGGAAACTTTGTGGAACATGCCTAACCAAGAATTGATTGCCTTGAATTGATTTAATTGTTTTTCCCCCCATATATAGAAATCTAGAGAAGTGCTCATGTTATTAGACTCAAGCTCAAAAAATACATATTGTGAGTTTGACCAATGGTAACTATTATTTTTTAACTCTGGCTACTTTTCACTATATAGTATATTAACTACATCATTTACGATTTTCAGCTGGATATTTACATGTTTCCTGACATTTTTTTAACTTTGAAATAAACCTAAGTCATGTTGAGGAAAAACAGGTATTATGGGAACTGCTGAGCCAGTGGTACAAAATGTCTGACTTGTGTAGCAAAAGTCAGTCAATTGTCAAGAAACACATATCCAGGATGCATCCACACGTAGGAAGTGTAGTCTCCAGTACTACTTTCCCATTTTGAATAATTTTGATATTTAATTTGCCCTATAAGTGGCATCGATAATTATTTTGGTATGTGGCCTTTAAACCCAGTTAACATTAACAGTTTTATTAAATTCTAATGAATTTTGTGCTATAGGCGGTTATGGGGAAAGCAAAAGAAATATTACCCAACAAAACTGCAGAAATATGAGCCGATTCATTTTTTTTGCTGAGTCTAATAATATATGCAGGGATTGTAACTTTGCAAGATTCATCAGTAAGAACAGTGTCTAAATAGAAGACTGTTGTGAGTGTTGATATTTTGAGTTAGCATTTGATAGAGTGACAACAATGCAAGGATACTTGATTTGAGTGATGAAGACAGCAGAAAAATTGAGAGTGACAGTACTGTGCACAGCTCTTAAATTCTGTGAAAGTTCCCTTCCAGCTTAGGGCTGGAGATTTAAATTTCCATCTGTCAGTGAAAGGGTTAAGTTGCTTTTATCATCTACAATAACTGTCATCCATGCAATCTGCAAGCACCATCACACATCTTTATAGAAGACATGGTACAAATCTGATAACAAATATCACCAGCTTACAGGTTTAGAAGGTCCTTGACACATCTGCCTTTAAAACACTGCACCCATCTCCATTATATCTAACCTACCATTTTTATATAATCTAAGCATTCATTCAATCATTTACTTTCATGGCTGGATTTTCAGGGACTTCAACTGTAGAATATTGAGAATTCATTTCTAAATAGAAGTTCCATCAAGTAGTGGACAGACAGATCATTCAGGAAAATGCTAGTGATCTGTGTTTGAATGACCTGGAGGACTGCCTTGAACAAGTGCAGTATTATTGGCTACTGGGCTTGTATTACACAAAACAAAAAAGGATGCCATCTTCATCATTTGTCATTGAAGGTAATTTAAGCAAAGGTAGAAGGAATAAATTATTTACCAGCTGGATTGGGAGGTATGGCTGGTCTACATTTTTGTGCTGGACCTGTATGATGGAAAAACAAGAAATAGAAAAACATCAGATTCCCTGCCCCTGTACCAGTGCTTATTATCCTCAAACAAGCAAGTCAATGTACATGATATAGTAAAAAATAAAAACTACCTAAACTACCTCATTATTTGTCACTATTGGATGAAAACGAGCAAAATAAGAAAAAGACTTGAAATATAAATAAATATTGAAATATGAAATGATCCTGAGTTATTGCTCAACATGAGGCAAGGAAAGAATTTTCTCATCTCAATTGTGTGAACTTAGTGAATAGTTCAAACTAATATTGACCCTAAGTCTTTGACCTTATTTACTATCTTACTTATCATTACTTATCATTTTGGCAGAGTTCTACAAGAAAAAAGAAATCCATGTCATGATATTTCCCCTAGCACAAAACTTCACTGGAAGATATTAAAATTTTTTAAAGCCTTGATGCATGCATCATATATAATATCAAGTAATTATGAGCATATTTGGATAAAATATGATTATTAGTTAGAGTGAACCATTATGAGCATGAACTATCACAAGTCTTGTTTCCTACTGATCCCACAAAAATCTCTCGATAGAACCATTTGAAAAGTACTTAAAATATTTTGCTTTTCTCCTTTGTTCATATTTCTCTCTATGATTCAGAAACAATAACCAAGACCTTTATAAGCCATAAATTAGCAAACGAATCAGTGACATTTTAGAAATTGACATACCTACTACATACAGTTATTATAAGTAGGGCTACACTGATGGCAATGTTTGGTCAATGATGATCTAACACACATTGGCTGGTGCTGTTGCCAATTGTGGCAAACAGATGAGAGGAGGGGCCACAAAATTATTGTCTGACATTCTTCATAGTTACCAACTCTTTCACTATAGTTTTTGAGATTTATGACAATGAATCTCCAAATCGTTACTAGCATGGGAGGAGGAGAAGCTGGAACAATGTTTCATTAGTTTCATTTGGATTTTTATTAAATAAACAAGTGTCAGAGGATGCCCAATGCCATTTACTTGATGCTGTTGCTATGGCAGAGAATGGCTGAATAAAATGTTGCTTGACTCCAACACTAACCCAGATCTCAGACAGACTTAACCAAGCCTTGTGCAATTTCAAATCTTTTCAGGGAATAGGCCAAAAGAACCTCTTTTCTTTCTTGGAAAGGAGACAAGGACATGTAGCATCAGGATGCATTCACATGACCATGTCTTCATTTTTTTCTTGGCAAGGGAAGATGGGGGAGGGGGGGGGGGACCTTTGCCATTGGCATCAGCACTGTTAAAACCAGCCATTTATTGATGATGCCATATTAATGGCCAATGCATTGATACATTACTAATTTGCAGAAATAGGGTTCCTCAATAAACACACTGAACACATGACAACTGATGACTTCATAATTTTTTTCCTCATGGTTGTCACACCCAATAATTTGATTTTGAACAAAGGAATGCAAAATTTCCTAAGATGGCAACAAAAGTAATGCATTCTCGTTCATACCCCTGAGTTGTCTCCATTGCTGCACTCTCTGCCAGATGGAGCATCTATGATTGCAGAGTCTCCACTTCCAGCAAACTAGGCAGGGGCGCTCAAAGTCTAAGAGAGGGGGAAATACTTTGAGTAGGCATTTTAAAGAGTTACTAACAACAACAGTTTCATGAAGTCAGTCCTTATAGTCCTGATATCAAGTGAGAAAATACATGCATGGAGACTAAAAAAAAAAAAAAAAAGGCAATAGGTGATTGACTAGTCAATTGAGTAGCTAATGCAGTGAATTTCTGGTGATTACTCTTTTAAAGTTTTTCCTTCAATCATGTCACACTCATCCATTAATGTCATAATCATAACTCTGTTAAATTAGGCTTAGACTTTTCCTATTGCCAAATAACAACCCAAAAATAACAGCAAATAAATTATTTTCTGTAAACTGATTGATATAACTACTACACAGCTCTAAGTTACATAGGCTAAGTCCTGACATCAAATAATATTTACCCTCTATGGCTCTAACTTAGTGCTTCAACAGTACATGCACTGATATCCTATACCACAGAGTGCTGTCATGGTGAAATGAATAAACAAAGTACTACTCCCTGTACAAATTCCATAAATCAAGGTTCAGATAATGCATCAGGTGGTGTTTCCACTCATTATGATGTTCCATGTTGAGGTCAAGCATTCATCATGTATCAAAAGATAGGCCTACTGTAAATCTAGTCATTCTTTTCCTGGACCTGCGGTCCCGGTCTGCAAGACCGTGGACGTCGCCATATCGATCATCGGCATTGTTTGGTTGTGAGATAATGCATTTGTTAAGTTTCAAGCATTGAATGATTAATATTGTAACACACTCTATGTAACTCTAAAGCAACCTTTAAACTCATGTTATGAAATTGAGAGACCTGAAAGTTAATAAGTGCTGGTGAAAACGAGAAGTGGATCGGGCAACCGGGGAGGGAAAATCGAGGAAGCCTGAGGGGAGCTTTTCCGGACGGGGGTGATTTTTGGGACCTGTGTGGAGGCAAGAGGACTTGGCTTTGTGCTCGTTGGCTGTGTGGCATGAGACTCTTTCTTCGAGCTTCCAGCTAGACTCTACAACTACATCTCTTTGGTCAGCTACCACAGAGACCATTTATAGAACTTTGAAGTGCAAGGGCGACTGGCCTATCCTCTCTGCAGCCCAACACCTCCCAATATTTTATGCCTTTCCCTTCTTGCTCTACCCTCCTGGGGTAAAGAGCCCAGTTGCCTTATCAGCTGGACTCTCCCCCTAATCCTGTCAAGTTAGGGTTAGGTGATATGTCCTTGTGATTTTTTTATTTTGTGATCTACCTTTGTGATCTTTTACTTGGTGATCTTAAACTTTTACAACCTTTTTATAGAAAGTAATTTTAATATATTCTCAAAGAATCTAATTTTTATACATCTTGAAAGAGTAAATTTAGAGTTATTTATGGGCATTTTTATCTCTATTTATTTGAGCTGTTTGTAAAGGGCATATGATCCTTTAGTGAAGGGTTCCATAGCAACCCCAGGCCATGTAACTTGGACACTCTACTTGCCAGATACTCCAGAGATCTGAGCCAACACCCTCTCAGCTCCCACCAGCACTCCTACCATTATATTTTGATAAGTAACACCACTAGGAAGGAAAGGAGCACTACACTACCCCTCTTTGAGAAAGATATTTTTGGGGGAGCAAAGCTACCTACTGCCTAGTCGCTAACAGCTACACTGCTCCATCTTTTTTTTTGTTTTGTCCATGAAGGCAAGTCTCTTTTTAAAGCTAGTCACAGAAGGTGCAGCCACTGCATCATCACTTAACAAGCATTCCAAGCATTCATTACCCTAAAAGTAAGGAAATTCTGCTGCAACCTGTGCCTCACATGGGGTTTATGCAACTTAAGTTGGTTCCCTCTCATTCTGCTGCTGCTGTCAATGTGGAAAAACCTATGATGCTCTATGTTATTGATCCCCTTAATAGCCTCAAATGACTGGATGAGATCCCCCTCACTAATCTTCTCTTGAGTGAGTACAACTCCAACACTCCCTAGGCCCACCTCTGGACCCTCTTGAGCACCCAAGTTCACCTTGATTTGCAGGTCTCCAAAATTGAATGCAATACTCTAAATGGGGTCCTACCAGTGCCACACATAACAGAAGACTAATGCAGGAGTGCTCACTAGCTATGAATCTTGCCTATAACCTTCCCAATAGCCTAGAATCTTGTTAAATTTAGCTACTGTTGCTTGGATGTGCAAGGAGAACTTGAGTTCCTCATTGAAAGTCATCCCTAAAACTCCCTCTCCCTTTGTCTCCTCAAGCTTATGAATGACAAACTCATTCAGGGACCTATCATTGTTATGACAGATGTGAAGTATCTTACACTTTCTTTTACTTAAATAAATATGAATTATGAAATGCATAAAGCAAGGAACAAGTGCAACACAAAAAAGGCACATGGAAGAACTATTAAAGTAAAATTCTCATTCATAAATCACAGAGTAACTGATGGATCCACTAGCAATAGTGCAAAATGTCGAAAAATTATGTTTTTGTCAGCAAAAATTGGAATGAAAATGCCTTTTGGTAAAACTCTTTACATATTTGTTATTATGATGGAAAATAAAAATGGGAGTATGCACTGAAGAAAAGTGAAAAAGACTTAACATTCAGAATATCAGGTAAAAGTTTACATGTTACCATATTTGAACTAATTCTACCACTGCATGCACAAACATTTTACATTTTGGGCATCTGAAAATTAAACAATTCAAAGGCAATATAAATCATCAAAGCAGAAAAGGTTTTGGTGGGCCAAACCAGAAACTCATGTTCTTGAAGGAGGGCATTTAGGGTATACAACATATATGGTGAGGGTAAGAAAGTATACGGACCATGTCCTGAATTAGGTTGTTTTTCACAGATAGTAATAAGACATTCAATAGTTTGGATTTCTAAGGATGTCAACTCTGCTCACATGGACTTGGGAATGACATCTTGAGGCCCCTGATCCATTAATGTGACAAAAGATTGCAAAGTTTGGTTCTTGTATACTTGATTGCACTAATATAACATGTGTATGTTTTTTGCCACACATTCTCACTACTGCAGCTGAAATACCCATAGAAATGTACCTTATTTGATTTCTGTCAGAAGTATGGTAAGGAAATTGGGATTAAATTTTGCTAACCACCAATGCCAGCTCATCAAAAATTTCTCATAATCGAGGCCTTCCCACCTCATCCATTTTGCAATGCACGAGACTTTTTGCCTTGTTCTGAGGTTCACCCATATCTGAAGTTTACTAATCACTAGATGGCGATTGGCACTCCATTCAGACCCATGCTCTACCCTAGTATCCATTACCAGGCTCCACAACTCAGCCATAAAATGATCACATAGTCATTCAAAGACTACTGGCACAAAGTATCAGTCTGACATCAGACCCCTTTATGCCAGGTACATCTGTAGACATCCTCGTGTTGGAAGGTGGTTTTGCTTAGGTTTTGGTTAGGCCATTTCCAGTACAGAAGTCTAGCAACTTTCAGCCATATTCATTACATGAGACCTTCTCAAAATTACCCATCAACTCCATGTAGCTTCATCTTTCTGGACTCACATCGAAGTCTTCAATCAACAGAACAGGATCATTTCTCAAGACTCCATACACCTCTTCAAGGAATGCATTTAACTTGAACTTAGAATTCAGCCTGTAGACCTGAATGGCAGCAAAGCCAACCACCCCAACTCACTTAAACAGCAGCAGATCAGAGCAACTCATTTGCTGATTGGTGTCAAATTCAATCACATTACCACCCAGCCAGAAACTGATAAGCATTCCCACTCCCACTTGGGCAAGCATAGTTAAGTCTACTCTACTCCATTCCAAGAAAGGGTCCACCCATGTTTCAAGGGGGGGGGGGGGGGGGGGACCAGTGCCTTTCCTTTAGGTTGATACAAAACTGGCTCTATGTAGTCATTGCATACAAGACACTTCTGGTTCCCTACTACCAAGAATTATTATATTCCAAGTCCCAATATCCCAAGTTCATTGCCTAGATCATTTCACCCTTGGTTCTAATCCTTGTTTGCTCCTAGATATCATGCAAAAAATATGCAATGCCAGTGGTAACTAACTCTAGGCCAGGATGTAATATGATGAACCCAGAAAAATCAGATGCCTGACCCTGGAAGCCACCTTATCAAGTCACGTCAGAAGCACATTGACTGTTGTGGTCCTATGCCATCCATCTCAGGATGAATTTTAAATAGACATGGAGACTAAAGGCATCTTTGAAGAAGTGAATAAAGGACAAAGTCATACCTATAATAGAAGTTTCTTGAGGATGCACAGCTCTCCTTGCTACTGGAACAACAGGTTCATCTGCTACTGCTGGTGCTCCAGGAACTGGCCTTGGTGTTGCTGCTTCTGTTGCCAAAGTTGGCACTGTAAAGTAGATTGAACCTCAAATAATTTGCACTTGCCAAGAAATGAGGCATTCCAAAGATTTGATAATCTTACATAAGTACCTATGTGATACCATAGATTGTCTTTGTTGAGGTTCAGTTCACTTTCAATTTAAATTTCATTAAACCAAAACCACCAGCTCCTTCTAGGTGCTTTGGTCCTATGCCACATCTGCAGCCTGGTCCACACAAAGACCAGGTGCAGATAAATCATGTCTGACTATAGCCAATCAGCAGATCCAGGAATATCCTGAAGGTCTTTGTCCTTGAGTGGGACCAATAACTAACAAACTATGCCAAGGGTGGTCCTATTTCACAGTGAATTTAATGAGAAGCAACTTTGAATTTTGACTAGCCCATTGCCTTGTTTGTTGATTTGGTCATCATACCCACCTGATCATTTGGTATGTGGGTCATGTAGAAAGCTGTGATTAATCATTCCTGATATTTTACAATAATTTACAAAATAACCACATTACTTGAAAAGGCAGATTTTTCACATATGCACATAAAATGAATCAGAGAGGAGTAGCATGCACAGTAGTGACATGATGCACAAAAATGTTCTGTGATTCATTTGCAACATTTGGATGGACAATCATAGCTCTCTATGCAACCTGTCCACCAAGTGTTTATGTATGGTCTTCCTACACATGCTGGATTCCAGATGAAGGAAATGAAGGGAGCAATGCAAAGGCACTTAAAATGTCTTGGATACATATCCAACAAATTAGCTAAGAGAATTTGAATAGAAAGTTCAGCACTCTGGCATGACTTTGTTCCAGAATATCCACAATGACCTGGAACACCCTCTGCACGTCATCTCATTTTTCAAGAGGAAGACTGGACCAGTGACCATGAACATTATGCTGCTCTAATACTGAGGACTAAAGCATTTCAAGAGAGCTTCACTACCAAGGCTAAAAGAGAAGTTCATCATCTCAATTAAAGTGACCAGATAAAACTGGTGCAAATTTGTATTCTTAATTCTCATATTCAATTTTAGTTTTCAACTTTACTTCTCCACATAAAATCTGTGGACTGTATTATCATAATTTAACATACTCATATAAAAGGTGTTCATATTTTAATGCAACACTGGAATTTTGCTGCCTCTTTGTGGAGTTCAGCTTTTGCCTTATGACTCCCCAAGTTGCATATCTGGAGCCTATCACAGCACTGGTATGTTTCCTTGTATTAGGTGTTAACATAAGTAGTGTCCGTTTTTTTCAAATTTAAAAATGTGTGCCAAAAGTAAAACACATTGGCAAAGGTTATACGTCATTTGAAAGAAAATTTACGGCTCCACAAGATATTGTGTTTGCCTTTAGTTACATTTATTATTTTATTTAATTACAGGTCTTCCAGATGGAATGTCAAGTAGACAAAAGTGAGCACTTTCGACACCTCCTTCTGTTCGCATTCAATCAAGGGAATAAAGCTGCTCAAGCTGCTCGCAATATTTGCGCAGTGTACGGTGAAGATGCTATGAATGAAAGGACAGCTTGTCTATGGTTTTCGCGTTTCAAAGACGGTAATTTCAACCTGAATGGCATGGAGCATTCCGGACGACCAGTGGAATTCGATGAGGACCGTTTAAACCAGCTTATTCATGAAGATCCTCGTCAAACCACCGTAGAATTGGCTGAGCAGATGGATTGCAGTCACGTGAACATATAGCACCATCTTCAGTCAATGGGAAAAGTCCAGAAGTTCGGTGCTTGAGTCCCACATTTTTTGAGTGAAAACAACAAAAATCAACGTTCGACAATTTCTGCTGGTTTGCTCGTGTGTCATCGAGCTACGTCCACGAGCATGGCCACAAGCAAAGGTTTCTTTACCACATCATTACTGGTGATGAAAAATGGTGCCTTTATGTGAATATGAAGCAATGGAAAGAATGGGTGAACCATGGTCAACAAGCAACGCCCAGAGCGAAACAAGATTTGCATCCGCGCAAGACGATGATTTGCGTCTGGTGGGATTGGCAAGGCGTCATCCACTACGAGATACTTGAACGCAACCAGACAGTCAACAAAAAAGGCCAGATCGGCAATATGGTGTTCTTCTGCAACACGATAATGCCCACCCTCATATCGCCAACATCACGAAAAATGCCATTCAAGCGCTTGGTTGGGAAGTCCTGCCGCACCCTCCATATTCTCCAGACCTCGCGCCGTCAGATTTCCACCTTTTCCAGTCGCTTTCGAATGAATTGCGCAGCGTTTCCTTCAATAATAACGTCGAATTGCGGACATGGTTGGACGAATTCTTCGAGTCAAAATCGAATGATTTTTATCGCAGAGGCATCGAAAAACTTGTAGAACGTTGGCAACAAGTTGTAAATAATGAAGGAGAATACATTGTTGACTAATTTGTTGTAATTTTTTTGTTGAAAATTATGTCCTCTTCATTTGGAAAAAACGGACACAACTTATGTTAACACCCAATAGATGGGCAACCTGGAGGGTCTTATAGCATTTGCCAACCTCCATCTACAGGTGGCAAAGGAGGAGGATAAATGTGACTTTATTCCAACCAATGTATCATGAGGGGCAGCGGTAGCAGAAACACAGTCACAACGTGATGGGCAAGTCTCTGAGCCATTGCAAGGCTTCTGGGGAGGCTTGGTGGATTTCCGGAGGGAGAATTTTACTGAGTATAGGAGTGATTCGTCCTAAGATCAATCTTTCTAGGAGCTTGAGGGTCGTACAGAGGAGAGAGATTGGTCGATAATTTTTGGGATCATCTCTCGGTCTGTCCCCAGGCTTGGGAATGGCTATAACATCAGCCTTATGCCATATCCCGGGTATGACGCCGGTGTCTTTGATTGAATTGAAGAGGTGTGTCAGCCATTTGGTGGCAAAATGGCAAAATATTCCCTATGTTGGATTTAAATACATATGTATACTTTTCTGTCATTCTCTCTTTACTCAGTGGGCATACTTTCTTGACTCTCTGACTCACACCCGGCCAGCCTGTCATGACCCTTGCACAACACAAGACTAACATATCCTAGCCCTATTCACAAGGGTTAAAGCCACAAGTTGCTTGGATCAAGGTAACAACTCCTTATTATAGATATGGTCCTATTGGTAGATCCTCCAGCAAAGACCAAATCAAAGACTCTAGATGCCCAGCCTCCCCACCGCCAATGTCTGGGACAGGCAAAACCTCCACTCCATAAAGGTGAGTGGAAGTTGGGAAGAACCCCTTAAGTACACCTTCACTTGGCGCACTAGAGCTTACTCAGCAGATTTATGTCGTGTAGCTAACTTGACCACTTACACGAACAGGTCATTGAATACAAAAGTAATTTCCGAACGAAGTCGTTCTTTCCAGGTGAAGGAAGGAAAAGGCCTTCACTGTCTGGTTTCTTCATATTACCCTTCCTCTCCTGTCTAGATGTGGATTCCATTCGGGGGGAATGCAGGCCCTCCGCTCATCGCATCTATGGAGGCTCTTCCTTTCTAGCACATGGGGTTGGGACTAGTAACCTCGGTTAGGAATCAACTTGGTTTGGTATCATTTCGGTCTCCGGGCCAAATGCAGTCACCTAAACAAGTCGCACCTTACCCAAAAAGAGACAGACAAATCGCAGCGGGAGCAGGAAGGAGTAGCGGGGACAATAAACGTGTGGAAATTTTTAATGCTGCGTGGAAACGAGAAGAAAACGGAAGGTGAAGGGAGAGCGGCGGTATTTATGAGACGCAATAGCCGATTTTACGCCATGCTAATGACACGCATGTGACAGGTTTAAACAGCAGTCGGGTAGTCGCCAGTATGGCCAATTCTCATAATGGGCTTCAATTGTGCAACCTATCTCAACGATCCCTAAAACAGCTACGATCTAAAGGAAATATTAAAAGGATCAACTAACTTCTGAGCATCTATGCATGTAAAGGGAAACGAGCTCTAAAGGCGATGGAAACTCACTTGCCGGGTTGTGTGCATCACGAGACCTCGTGGTACCCTTTAGATTCACAACTGGATGAAAACGTCCCCGTTTCCCGTTCATGATTCCACAGGTACTGAAGAAGTAGCGCGCCTATTCCGTGCAGACACTGCAGTAGCCGCCTTCAGACTGCATAGCCACAGCACAATGCTCACATGTGGCGCACGCATAGAGCTCTATGGGCGCACGCATGCAAACTAGATTCCTGTACGGGACGACTTTTTGGAACCAGACCCGATCGGGTCTCGGCCCCAACGGAAATCCGAATGACAGCCAAGCTTCACGTCCGACCCGACCCGACTTGGGAGTTCATGTTTTCCAGTTTACTTGTCATTTCCGATTGCCTTTAAGGAAAAAAAAAATTTCTACAAACAGTCTCTGGCTTAACTGATGTACTACGTTTTTCAATCAGGTGACCGTTCATATTGAAATTGTCCAAGTAGCGCAAAAGTAGTGGGCCATAAACGGCCCAGGCACTACAATGGTGGATTTCTGCCGGGGGCGGGAACGTGGCGGCAAGTTGGACATGCAGTTGCTGGCCCGCTACCCGTTGTAGGTAGGAAGGCCACCAGAATGCAGTACCAAGAGTCCCCACTAGATGGTATTCCAGTTCCCTGCACCCTTCTAATGCAAGGAAGTACCTGCCAGCCTGATTTAGCGAAAGCGTTTATTCGTTTTTTTAATTTTTTTTTTAAATGTGCGATTTATAAACAGGTTCTAGGAAATCGTGAAATTATGTTTTGATAGCAATATAAGATTTGGGGAATTATTAAATGCTGAAGTAAGGGAATTAAGAAGTGACTAGGGGAGGGTAGAGGAACTATATTCACACCTGCTAAGGCCCTTCCGGCCAGCTGGTTCCGCAACGCCTTATGACAGGATGTAAATATAATATCGACTTAAATAAAATCATACCTTACTGACTCACGAAGTAAAACAGCTAGGACCCTATAGATTTCATTCTTCTTCGGCTCAGGTAGACCTAAATACTAAGCGCCCCTAAACACTGATACTAACCTAAATAAATTCAGGTTGCTTTCTCAATAAGGTCGCATAGTTCCTTGCTCTTTAATTAAACCCCTAAAGATAAAAAAAAACTCAAGGGAGAGATCCTGGGTGAGAAGCAGCTCTCTCTCTCTCTGGTTGACTTCTCCCCCATAGCCATGAGTCACCTTCTCAGGGCTAAGTCATTAGCTTCATGAGGGTCTTGCTCTCTGCCAGCCCTCATGTTGGGAGGATCTCACCATGGTGGGCGAGAGTCATGTGTCGGTCCATCACATGACAGCGGGGCCCACCATACCTTTAGCTACTATTATAAAAGTCGGAAAAGGAAAAAAAATCCCTCAGCTAGAGTCCACTCCCAGGCTCTAGCTTGCTTAGTCGTGCTTTTTTTCGGCCTAGGCTCACTCCCTACCCCAGCTGCCGGGGCCCATCGTTCCGGCAGCCTTCAAATCGTCTTTATTAAGGCGTCATCCTTCACCTCATTTACATATTCAACAATCATCATCATATTGAAAGTCTCGGTCTGTTTTTATCGACCAAGCTTTCCACGATCTCCCTATTCATTATCATCTCTCCTTCTTTCACATCACTTTCTCCTCACTTCATCTTTAAGTTCCCACACCTTTTCCTCAAGCTCTCTCTTCTCAGGCATTAGCTATGCCTGCGAAGAGGAGACTGCGGAAACGGGGCCCTTCCTTGAACGCTCCCTCAGTCTCTTCTAATCCCTCTCCTCGCTCGAGGCGGCAGCCATCCCCAGCTGCATCCTTGCACCCTCCGCCCGCCTCCCGCACCTCGTCAGGTACACACTCACCCTCGCCTCCACCCCACTCCTAACCTCGCTCCGTACTTGCCCTCTGCTCACTCAGGAACGCCTCCCTCGTCCCCAACGAAATCGTCCTCATCCTCGAACTCGCCTCGCGAAAGCCTTCTCCCTAAGGCACCTGCCGCTAGTCTCATCCCGATCGGATCCGAATCCACAAAAGCCTACTATTTCCAGAACCCTGTTTTCATCCAAGGTTTGACTCCCAAACTCCAGCAGAAAATCGCGTTTATTCGCTCTTTCTCTGCTTTCTTTCCAACCGTCCGCCTGCTGAATATCCGTGCCACTCGAT